AAGAAAAGGAACATCCCAGGACAAAGGAGAACTTAAAGGAAGTTGCAGTTGTCTTCTGTCTTAGAGTTCCTATTACTGTGATGAAAAATCATGACCAAAAGCAACTTGGGGAGGAGAGTTTATTTGGCTTACATATCCGGAAACATAGTCTAGTGAGAGAAACCAAGGCAGTAACTCAGTTTGGGAAGGAACCAGAAGGCAGGAGCTGATGCAGAGGCCATGGAGGGGTGCTGGTTATGTTCCTCATGGCTTCCTCAGCTGGCTTTTTTATAGAACCCAGGACCATCAGCCCAGGCCTGACACTTCCCACAATGGGCTAAGCCCACCCACATAATTAAGAAAATGCCATACAGGCTTACCTATAGCCAGATCTGATAGAAGCATTTTCTCAATTGAAAGTCCTTTATTCTCAAATGACTCTGGCTCATGTCAAGTTGACACCAGCCAGAACATCTTCATTTACTTGAAGAACAGATTATACAAAAGCGATTTTAATAAAGATTTAAAAAATCCCTTATAGGGCTTTATGTTTACAGCTTCCTAAAAGGCATGAGGCCCTGGGTTCAATCTCAGCCCTCCAAAAATATACATATAATTCCAGAGAAAATATGAAGTACATGAGTCAAGGTAACAGAAATAAAAATTTCAACTTACTCTGACAAATAGGTGTCTCGTTATCCCAAGCAACATTTTGATCTGAGATTACACATACAGCAGAGGAGGAACCAATGAGGCGGTATCTACACACAGAATAAAGAATGTTAATTAATCCATAAGTAATTGCCTACTTAAATTGCTGCTTCCCAGAGATTACTACCCTGGAAGCTTTAGGACATTTTTTTTCTTGTCAAAGACCATGAGTTCTCAAATCTTACATTCCTCTTTGGACTTTTTGATTTTCATCTTCACGATTCGCAACTAAATGAGATTTTTCTTTTCATTATCTTATCATACAATCTGTACTTTGTTTATACAAATGTATAGTTATTTCCTATAAGTCTTATTTTAAAGATATTACAAGCTTCCTGAGGGCAAAGTAAATGCCATGTGTATGTGTGCATTATACTAATATCTATGAATTAAGTTATACTGTGAAAGCATTAATGTCAATGCCTAGATAAGGGCAAGATTCATTATCCTAGAATCAAGGGACTCCAATCTGAACAAAGTTGAACCAATTTTTCCTACTTGATTAAAGTTAGCAATACTCAATTAATATGCTACAAATTGTCTAGTATGTCATAAAATAAAAACAATTCATGACAATTATTTCACAGTAACTTAACTCTTATACCTACTTTGTTTTATACATAAACATGTCATTTTGGGAAGTACAACTGTAAACGGCTATGTTTTATGTTTACATTTAAATGCCACTTGCTCATTTTCCTATGGGAAAGAGACCTTTTCTGCCCTCCCCCCCCTGCCCACCCCACATACCTTCTTCTTTTTTCTTTTTTGTGCTTTTGGTTTTTCAAGACAAGGTTTTTCTATGTTTTTTTTTTTTTCTTTTTTCTGGCTTTCCTGGAACTCATTCTGTAGTCCAGGCTGGCCTTGACATCCAAATGCTGGGACAAAAGTCATGTGCCACCACCAACCAGTGGGAAAGAGACTTTGACACAATTTTACATGTAGGCTTATGTATTTTCTACCACAGCAAGAACTAAAATAGACACAAGATCTCTTGTTCTCTCTATTTACTGTGACATTCCCTTTGTGTCTTCCCATTCCTGATTTTTCTTGCACATTCTTATTGCTGGTAATCATTTCTATAATTACATAATTTTTAAAAAATTATATAAAGATTCATATAGAATGTAACCATATACAATTAGCTTTCTACTCAGCACAATCCTAGAGATTTATCAAGCAGTCCTTTTTGTTATAGAGTCCATCACATGGATGCACCATCATTCATCTAACCATTTACCTATTGTTGGACATTTGAGTATGTCCAAAATCAGGGAGATCCATAGAGAAGTAGGTAGTTGTACAGAAACAGGACAGGGCACATTTTCATTTAAGAATGATGAAAATGCCTTTGTGCTCCTAATCTTATAGAAAAGACTGCCTTTCTCCACTGAATACAATGTTAGTTGTAGGCTTGTCATATGTGAAAAATATATGACATGAAACTATAATACTTCTATGACTAATTTTTAGAGAACTTTTCTAGTGATGGAAAATTTGAATTGTTTTTCAAGTCTTTTCTTCTTCTAGCAATGACTATGCTTTTACACCTCATTCTGTCAGTGTGATATATCACATTTTCTTTGTACACTGTCAAGTGAAACTTGCATTTCAGGGATAAATCCCACTTAATCATGATGTATGACAGTGTGTATGTTGTATGAGCATACATGGGGTCTGTGTGATAATGTGCCTATATGTGTGTACAAGAGGAGCTCAGAGCAGGATACCAGGCATCTTCCTCTATCACTCTCAGTCCATTGTCTTGAGAAAAATCTCTCACTGAGCTGAAAACTCACTCGTTTGGCTAGGCTGGCTGGCCAGCAAGCCCTTAGGATCTGTCTTTCTCTCATGCTCCTAGTGCTGAGATTACAGGCATCCATTTTACATGGATGCTGGAGATTCATCCCACTCACCCCAGTGTATGCACTTGTGAATTCTGTCTGATAGTAATTTGTAAAGAATGAATGTTTATAACATGTTTATTAAGGATACTGGCCAGCAATTTTCTTCTGTTGTCAAGGCTGGTTTGGTATTAGCATAATACTGGCCTTGTAACACAAATTAGAATCCAGCGGTGAAGCCCACAGGTCCTAAGGTTTCCTTTGTTGGAAGGTTGTGGTAAGTAATTGGAATTTATCTAAGTATTTATCTTTTGCCTCTTTAGCTACATTCAACTATATAGCTTTGCTCTCAAACATGTATCTGCAATGCCAACTCAGAGTCATCACAGCTTCTTCAGCTTCTTTCTCACAGTTAGATTCAGGATTCATTATCAATGCAAAGACTGTGCCATCTGGTTTCCTAGCTTTGGTTTCTCTGAAACTCTTCTCTAACTCTTTGTGGTTTCTCTCTCTTTCTTTCTCTCTTTCT